TCTTGATTCTGCATCAACGCCGTCCACGTCGCGTCGTAATGCTCGAGATAGTCTGCGACACTCATCCCGGTCGTGCCTAGATAGGCCCCTGCTTGGGCGAGGGCAAGCGGGAGACCGCCGAGCTTGGGCAGCAATTGATCAATGTCTGTGTATGTGTATGTTAGTAATCGTACTCGCTCCGCGGCGCTGCCACACGCACGTACTCGTGACCGCTTTATCCGCACGTGTCTCGACCATCTCTTTCGCCAGCTGATCGTCGGCGACATCTAAATGAAGGCTGGCCTTTGGTAGCTGCAGCCGCTGAAGACGTGTCGTGATCAAGACGTTCCCGTGATTGGCATGCGGCAGGAAGTCACGGTAGTTGTATGCCTGAGCGTCCTTCATTGTGCCCTGCCAGTCGCGGTCGATGTTGTCGATCACTATCAACCAGTCCGTGTTGCCCGGGAGTGACAGCCATTGCTGGAAGTCAGCCATCAACTGTGCGACATCCGTCTTTGCCGTCGCGTCTTGTGCACGCGTCGACAACCGCGCGCCGGCGCTCGCCATTGATCGTTGCAGAGCATCTTTGGACGATCCGTCGAGCCAGAACACCGCGCTGAACCGCTCTGCGCTCGTCTTGGCGAATTGGGCGCACAGCTGCGTCTTGCCCATCCCGCCTGTCCCGTGTACGACAAACACCCGCTGCTGCGTCGACCGCGTCGATGTCGTTGCGAAAAACTCGGTCAGACGCTGCATCTCGGGTTTGCGAGGCACGAAATGCTCCGTCGCCGGGATGCCTTGCAGGCTGAAAGGGACAGAGAAATTACGAGGCGCTACTCCATCTTCACCGATCAGTAGGTATCACAAGGGTCGTCTGAAGTGTAATCTATCTGCCTACATACCTATAGCTTCTAGTACAGGGCGGATCTTGGCAACCTCGATTGTGGTCATCCATAGCAGCAGCTCCCGTGCGTATGCCGCCGCCGCCGCAGCTGCGTACGGCTGCCACCGCTTGTTCTTGTGCGAGTCGGCGTAGTCGCAAATACCGCGAATCACAACACACGGAAACGAGTCCATCAGGCCCGCCGCTTCCATCTCGAAGCATATCACGCTCTCCTTCTGCGCAATCCGATCACGCGTGCGTCCGTCCTTCATCACTTCATTGCCCGAGGCGATATTGCCATAATGCAGGCGTGGACGACAGCTCTGGCGTGCTTCCCGATGCACCACGCGCGAGCGGGCGCACTGCCTACATGTATTGCCGCGTTCGTGGTCATAACCAGCTTCGAAAAGTTCGTCGTTGTCGTCGCCCTGGTGTACAAACGCCTCCATCGCGGGATACTTGGACAGCATCTCGGCAAGATGTTTCTCCAGCATATGACCCTGCAGCAAGTGTTCCGCCTGCAAGCCTTGCACAGCGTTCAGGAGCTCACGCGGGGGCTTGCTCAGCATCCCCGTCCGTTGAAAGATTCCACCGGCCTCGATTTTGCCGAAATCCCACTGCACTACTCCGCCATGCTGGCCGTTCGGTTGGCTCACGACCACATCTCCGAGCCGCACGTCTACCTCTTCGCTCCACACCCCACCTGCGATGCCCACCATCAGACCGATGCGGATCGGAAAGCTGCGAGTCATGTCGCGGGCCACCACCGCAGCAGACACCGTGCCGGTCGTGCCCGCCGGGAGGCAAGCGATGACCACTTTATGCGCACCGATCGTTCCGAAAGCATAGTCGTTCTCGTCGCCTGAAGCAGGCGGCAAGCGCTCGTGCTTGTTGTCAAGCATGGCGACAGCTGCAGCTTTCTCAATCGCTAGCGCGCAAACAATGCCGACGCTGTACGCCCCGCGATCATGGACAGCGTTCAGCGACATGGTGATGGGCGCAATCAAAATGGTCAAAGAAAATACAAAGTGAAGGGGAACGATGAGCAGTCATGTCGTAGTCCGCGTCTGAAAGAGAGCAGCAGAGCCGCTCGCATGTAGCATGATGAGGAGTGTGCGGCTGACCGGTGTGAGACTACTTGTGTCTCATGCATGGCGTCGACACAGCCCCGCCAGACTCGCGATCTAGGCGACGAAATGCAATGCGAACGTCGTCCAAAGAGACCACTCCTGTGGGTCATGCAATGCCCGGCGCTTAGGCAGCGGATACCGCCGCCACTACGATCGGCAGCTCTATGACGGTGAATCGGCTCGAGTCTGATTGTATCACGCTGCAAGCTAATTTTAGCACATTCCTATCACTCACCTTGTTCACCTGGATACACAGTATCCTCTGACATCACCATCACTGCATGATTACCGATATGACCGATCGAGCGACACAAGTCCTTGATGGACTTCAATCTGGCAGCGCCATCACCTCATTGCGACATGCGGCAGAGACCAGCGGTGTACCTCGCACAACGCTCCAGCATCGTGCGCGTGGCCGACGTTCGCTTCTCGAAAAGGCTCAAAGCCAGCTGTATTTACGGTCTTCCGAGGAGATCGCTTTGGTGCGATTCTTGCTGCAGCAGGACGCGCTCGGCCAGCCGGTCCGCGTGAAGCACGTTCGCTCAATCGCCTTTAGTCTGGCATGCTCACGTATTCTCGCCGACAAACCAGACAAGCCTCCGGGCAAGAACTGGTCGCGGTCCTTCTGCAAGAGGCATCCTGACATTTTGAAGGCCGGCAAGAGCAGTGCGATGGACTGGAATCGCTTCAATATTTACGAGAAAGTTGTGCAGTGGTTTGAGGTGATCGCTGGCGTGCTGCAGAACCCCGAGGTTTTACAGGAGATCGTGTAACTTACCTGATAATTTCTGGTCATGAGACACGTCGTAGCACAAACATCGCCCGATTGGCGAACAGGTTCGCAGTACTTTGAACAGAGAACGAATGACTACAGCTAAATGTGAACAGCCAAGACGAGAAGCACAGCAGCTCTCTCTCCTCTCTTCCTCTCTCTCTCTCTCTCTCTTCGCAAGCATCCATCCATTGTGAAGACTCATTCTACCACAGCTAGAGATCTCTTGGATCTCCATTCGCTCTTCGGCGTTTCATTATTTTCTCGGCCCGTTCTGCGAACGCCGCCGCTCGAGAACCCGCAAATGTCGGATCAGGCGAAAACTTGCGCGCCAAGGAGAGGTCCAGGCTTCCGCCGTCGGTGAAGAGCTCGTCCAGGACCTGGCTGAGCAAAGTTTTAATGCCCTCGTCGTCCGCTCGCTCGCCTGTGACGAGCACTGCGTCGACGGCAGAAATCTTCTTGTATTTGGTTACGTAGCTGCTGTTACGCAGCAATTCGCGAAGCTCGGACTTTAAGAGATCGTCGCAATGGGCTTGGACGTCGGAGTTGTTGCTGGGACTTTCATTCAGGCATGCTTCCCGGGCGTCGAAGCCAAGTCCACGCGAGTAGATACCAGGTTCAGATATCGGCCACACCAATCCACATTCCTCTTCCCAAAGCGATGACACGAGAGACCGCCGCGTGTATTCGACGCCTAACATGAACTTGGGCGGGTCCTCAACGTATCCCGGTTCTTCGGGCGTAAGGTAAGCAGAGCAGCGTCCTCCCATCCCGAGTGCCCAATTAAGCTCCGGGAATATGCGGTAGGGAGGCTCCCAGGTGTGCACATGAATGCTGTCCATGGCCGATCGGATATCTTCCTTAGCCCGGTCCCAGCGGTCGTAGGGAATCGCATCAAACGATACCACTGCCGACTCGACGGTCCGCTCAAGGAGTGACCCAGCAGCAGCCACGAGGACATGGAGAATTGGAGCGAGGGGATTCGTGATCGTGGTAAAAGGCCAGAATCGTTGGCAGAGTTGCTTCGATAAAGGACAATACGGGTATTGGATGAGATCTTGCTGCTGTGATTTGCCCAGCATGTACGCTTTGTACGTCTCCCCACCTTCGATCTTGGCAATGTCGATGTATGTGTCGTTCTCTGTGAAAGCGCTCACGGTGCTGGATGCCATGGAAGGTTAACTTTGCGATACAAATCATGTATGCGGAGTGTTCACTTACGCGTAACCGTCAAAGAGGGCGATGCCAATACCGGGATCTTTATCCTCGGCAGCGAATTCGGTAGCGAGTCCGACACCAAGCCAAATGGCGATCAAGATAAAATAAGACCTCATCGTGATGGGAATGTTTCGACCTTGGAGCAAGAAAGAAGCGGGCGATGTGCCCTTGATGTAGATGTTCGAAGTCCACCCCGCTGTGACGGCCAGTCAGGCAGACAATTTGCGGCGCAAGTTGTGTCCACGGCAGGCGCCTGAGACGCTACAGTGAAACAACATTTCAAATGAAGGGATTGCTGATTGGCCCATACCTATGCGCCGTGCAGGGTACCGAACGCAAGGCAGACTACAGGTCCCGGCCGGGCGCTTCTGCTGATATAAAAAAGACGCCGTGCTCTTTTCTTGCTAAACGCCGTGCTACCGTGGCTACTAACGTCCTGATGCTATTTTTGGTGCGGCCCGTCTCCCGAGCACGGTTGTTGTTCTTGCCTGTTTTACATGACACATTTTACGAATCATTTGCTGCAGCGAACATCATAGGCAATTCCATAGTTGTAGAAGTTGCAGAAGCTGCGATATCAGTGTTGTAGCATCCAAAGCGGTAGTATCAGTAATTATATTATTTATGTATGTATTATACATATGTCAGTAGACGTCAAGATCGCGCCCGAAGCACGGCGTTTCGGGAAAAAAGTGCACGGCGCTTTGGCAACGCCCGTCCCGAGCGCCAAAATTCCTTCGGGCGTCGGGCAACGATACTTTGATGCCAGCACGAAGCAGGGGCTGGATTTTAACCGCCGACAGGGCCGAGATCTGCATCCTATGAAACCTGAAACTCTTCGTTCGGCTCTTCCGAAACTCGCCAAGGCCTTTAAAGCAGCCAAGTTCAATATAAAGCCCGAGCGCAGATAAGAGCGACACGCTCACGGCCGAAAACATCCAAATGACCATGCGTCCCTGCAAGGATCACTGCCAAAAGTCAAGGAATCGACCTTCCCGGGCGGCAATGTGCTTCGCTAAGGCCAACACAAGACGCGATTGTCTTCGCCAGTGTTTCACGCTTATGTTTGCTTTTTCGAAACTTGGGCCTCCGTTTGGTCGGGCCTCGTCTAGTAAGCGCCTGATGCTGCATCGCAGAAAAAGCATCATGGCACAATCTATGAAGCGGATAGCTCCAATGATGAAGCGAAGGTATAAGAGTAGACGATCTGACCCGAGTTGTGGACATTATCAAATCCGACAGCTCCTCCTGGAAAAGCCAGGTATCAAACCTCACAAATCAGCCATCAAACCTCACAAGCCGATCGCCAAAGCACCTCACAAACTAGTCATCAAACCTCACAAGCCGGTCATCGAAGCATTTCACAAACCAGTCATCAAACCTCACCATGCATAAATTCACTCTGCTCTCGCTGTCAACACTCCTCGTGATGATTAGTGGCCTACCTCAGCAGCTTGATACTCCACCAATCGATCCCGGTGATCCAAACGTACCTGCGGGTGATTTCGTTCTCCCCCCACAGACGCCGGATCCTTTCCCAAATGGCATCCCCATCGCACCAGGTGCATGTGACCCGGAGCACCTCACCGAAGATTGCTTCACCGCCATGAACAATAATCCACATGGTGCTTTTCTTTACCTTGACAACAACAACGGTACACTATGTACGATCCGTGTTCCGTCCGAAATCAAGCTGGCTTGCATATGTAGGTTGCACCGGAGAGCAAATCAGAATGCTTAAGAACGGATTCTGGAATGCCGGACAGCTTCTACAGGAAGCATCAAAACAGGCTGAAGCGCGCTCATCGCACTATGACCTCGCGGCGGATTACTGGATGGGAGAAGACTGGACGGACTATGAGAAACGTATCAAAGACAACATTGGACGTGCAAGCAACTTCGTCAACAACGGTAAGACATCAAACTACATCACAGTCACATGCAAAGACCCCAAGAACTATTGCAAAAAAGACCCAATCGACGGCAAGCAAATCGGCGGCTATGCTTGGGATTATAACGGCTGGACGGGGAAATACGGCCACATCACTATGTGCGACCCATATTTTACACTGGGCACTTTCGCAGAGACCGTGGACAAAATCAACAATTGGAAAAAGACTGGCGAGAACAGTAAACTTTACCAAATGGAGAACTACCAGACCACTGGTCAGTTCATAGTCCACGAGATGATGCACCTCCACAGCACCTATGATCCAGAACCGCTGATCACTGATATCAAACTGAGAGTGGTTGGAAAGGCACCACCGTACGCCTATGGACCTTACAACGTACGTCGATTGGCCGCGGGTCCAAAGTTCCCCACGAAGGGTGACTATGGAGCCGCATTGTCCACTATCAATTCCGATAGCTATACCATGCTTATCAATTCTGCCTTCTGGTGGGAGATCGTGGGACGCCTTCCGGGAGTTTCGCCTGAGGATTCAGGCGTCGCACCGCCCAACTCGCCGTTGCTAGTCTTTCCGAGAGTTTCTGTTGCGAACACCAGCGATTTCTCTATCGCCAGCGTTGACAGCCTACTAGCTCAAGAAATTGATCTCTACTTTCAGAAGGAAGACGCGCCGACGCCTAATGACACCCCGACTCCTACTCCTGCACCATCCGACGTGCCCACTCAGGACCAAAATGCGTGCCATGGCATCGGTGGGGACTATTGGGTTCGATCTCGTGACGTTGCCGCTCAGAACGTCGTCGACTTTTGTGGTCAGACCGAACTCGAGAAGATCTACAACGCCAACTCGGTGAATGAGCTGAAACTCTCCGTCCGCAAGCTCCATGGTGACAGCCAAACACCGCGAGATGCCCCGGACTGTGTCGGTCGGTTCACGAATGCTGTCATCGATGGATGTGATGGCGCGGACTCGCTCAACAACCCACACAACTACAAGTTCGGCTCAACTCTGACCACCGCCGATGGATGGGAGTACAAGATGACTCCTCTCAGCCAGCAGGTCAACCAAGTTAGCTGCGACGCCCAGTACAAGTTCTTTTTCGACAGCTTCGAGATCCGCGGCAAGAACCTGCCTGATGCCTTGTTTGGTGCGGAGGGCGAGGGCTTGAAGAAACAGATCGAGGGCTGTGGAGCACTAACCTTCTGGAACTTCGAACGCACCCCAGACGACTGTTGCTTTCAATGGTACGCTGCAGGCAACTTGCCCATCGGCACCCAGGCTTGCATCGGCAGAGCTCTCATGTCGGCAGGCGGCAGTAGTATCGGTCGCTGCTGGGGTATCGGCAAACGCCAGGGGGAGCAAAACCACCAGGTGAATAACAAACGCCAGGTGAACACCACACGCCAAGTGGACAGCATCGACAGCTGGCCTGGATACGGCGATGAAGGCAGACACGTGTTCCGGAACCCTCCGTTGATCGGTCGGGATAACATCGACGCCTGGCCCGGCTATGGCGATGAAGGCAAGCACGTCTTCAAGAATGCGACACGACAGTAATGCCATTATGCGGATGGGGAGTGCAGGATCACCTCCAATGTGGGCGTTGCTAACGCGTTGTGCTATTTTTATTATGTTGTTCTTATGTACTACTGTAGTTCACGGCCTCTGTTTTACTTTTGTTAACCAATATCACTTGCTTAATACTACTTTCACCGAAATGCATTTGTGAGCTTCCTGTATATTCCTTAGGTGTTCTAAAGGATTACTTGACTCGAGAAAGCGTTGTAACGTAACGTCCCTCCCGGCGTCGCGAGCCACCCTATGTAACGAGCCAGCATTGGACACTTTGATCGATAATACTCTTCAACACCGATATGAATTTGCTTTGCTGTATCTACACTGTAGGTTAGGATGTTACCCTTCGATCGACCGCTCTACATCGAAATCGGGTGAGTGTTGCAGTCGCTGTGATCGATTCCTTCCTCGTGTAAAATCCTAGTCATCTCGTGAATCGCTACGTGTGAGTGTATTTCTGATCAGATCGCAGCGTTGCTCGGCTCGGCGGGCTGCGGAGAGTCCGCTCTATTGCTGCCTTCAGCATCGTTTTGTCTCATCGAGGTTTGCGCGATGCCGAGT